TCTATTTTACTGACCAACTTACGTAATGGAAATATATCTATCTATATTTATCTCGTTATGTCAAAAATTAGCCCAAAACCGTCCTACACATTTTTCGCAGCTTAAGGTTTTATTATAAGGTAACGGATATTTATATTATTTATAAAAAATTTTAGTTATTATAACAGTTCTTATAGTTTTATAAGAAAACGTTTGGCGTTAGATGTTTTGTAAGATTTCTAATAAATACAAAAAATATTTTAAGTTTTATAAGATTGTATCCAAAACGTTTTCGTTATTTTTATTTATAAAACCTTTAGTGTTCGCTACTTTAGTTTTTTTAAAAGGTTTTATAGCGTTCATAAAACCCGTATTATAAAATACTTACACTTGGGGTTTTATAACTTACTACGTAAAAATCCTTATAAAGCATCTCATAAATATTCTACAGCTACTATCAGACAAACTTTTTCATGTAGAAGGAGGCCGCTATATTTTTGAGGTTAAGATGTTTATAACTATTTTGGTAGATAGGTAAGAAAAATTAAAAGTAATAACAGCTTTTTTTGAAAGCGTGCTAAAATCCCTTGATAATATTTTGCGAAGTGCATCAGGCGATAAATCCAAAAAAAGTACACCAAAAACTAAAAAAAAATTATGCTTTCATCAAGGCAATATTATATTGGCAAATGTATCGCTGTTCTGCTAGGTTGTTCAAAGGTACTCACTTGTGGGGCACGACCTATTATCTTTCTTGGATTATTTAACTTTGGGCAGAGTTTCCGTCATTATATAAATTCTACGTTTTATTTCCGATCACATTTCGGCACTTAATTTAGGTTCTGGCGAATAAAACAGCACCCTGTTGAACTCCAGGCGCTTCGAACTATAGCCAAGTTCTTTGGTTTGGACATTTTTAAAAACCATATTTACAAATAAATAAACAACTAAAATGTGAGGTCATGACAAAATAATTGGCATTTGCGTAGCTAAACCAAACCAAAACTAATCCGAAAATCCTTGTCTCATATTTGTCGTTAAACTAATTATAAGGGTTAAATGTGAATATTATTATCAAAGAGGCGCAAATTTATTCCGGTTGGAAATTGTACTGGTTCAAAGACTGATTTAATTTTTCCCATTAAATTGGACTAGAAAAGAAAAGCAGCATCGACATGTTTGGTTTGAATTCTAATTTTGTATGGGGACGACATATTTCACGGTTTCTATCAGAATGTGTGACTTCTTTATTTTCTAAGCTACAAAAAGTGAACGCATATTAACTATACAGTATATTTATTATATAATATTTGACAATAATTTAAAAAATATTGTACAGGGAGTTTTAAACAATTATGATATATTATATATTTCAAAATACATTCAAAACTTATAACATGATTTATCCTTTATAGATTTTCGGTTAATTTTAGTTAGGAAAATAGAGTTACAAGTGTACAATATTTTTACAAATACAAATATACAAATATATTTGCCACGCAAACTACAGAAAAATAAATGTCATTTTGTAGATATACCGATTTAGTTAAATTAAAATAAAATTAATAATTAATAACGCATTATTTGAAATTATCACGTATAATTCAGCTGTAGATAAATTGAGATCAAAATAATTCTAATTATGCATTTTAAACTTCAATAATACCCAAACTACAGGAGCAAAATACTATGTGTATTTGTCATGAAGTTATTTTCATGAATTTCTATAACAAACCAGAAATATAAAAATTTTGCACTCATTTTTAAAATTAATTTAATCAATCAATTCAACCAATTCAATATAAAAATCAACTCTGTAGCTAAATAAATTAAAAAGTGACAGCGGTGGTTAATATCTAATCAATAACTATACTCTCCATTATTATTTGGTGCCGAACGGATTTGGTAACAATTGGATGTTTTCGGAAATAATTTTGACGTTTGTCAATTCTGACCGTCATGTCAGTGAATGTATTCATGTTGTATTGCAAAAATTTACCCAAAAACTAATGGTCGTAGGAAATAGACTGGTGACTCAAATGCCGTTTACCACACTTGTTGCGTAATGTACTATTTTCTATTCTCATCTCTAAAATACCCAATTATACACCGAGCTAGCCTGCGGAATTGGTGATTTTACGACGTCACGGGTTTGAGAGGAATCGGATGTTTTCGAAAATACTTGCCATGGCTTGAATTTTGACGTTTATCAATTATTGGATAATATACTATTTTTGAACAACGTTTTTAATCGATTCGTACTTTATATGTAATATGGAAAATATCGATTTTGCCTTGAAAAGTCGCATCATTAAAAGAAATAATTTTTTATACTGATGCCGTTTCTGTATAGTTATGATCATGGCTGAAGAACATTGCTGAAAGTGCAGTAGCGATATGGGTACCCAAAAGGTTATTCTGTTTCCTTTATATTAATAAATATAATTAAGAATTAATTCTTAACCAACATTGCTATAAATGGTTCTTTCTAAAAGTTGGTGCATGTCTATTTTAATTTGGACGAAAGGATCGAGTATTTTTTCGCTAAAAAATTGCAGGACAAACAAAAATATAATCTACATTTTTCTAAATGACTTCTAGTTAATTCCAAATCAATTAAAAATTATTTTTGCAGTTCAATAACGAAAGTCGTCTTGTTTTGGAACAATTTAATTCTCGCTTGTGGGATTAATAACCTCTGTCGACTCAATACAATTTTATTAATTACGTTCAGTTGTAGTGATTATAGAAAAATTGAGACAGAGTTCTAAACAGTAACCAGTAGTGTTCTAAATGTCTAAGTTTTTTGACTAACACAATATAAAAAATATCCGGTGGTTTGTTAAGTAGTAATATCTAAAGAATTTGGTGTTGTTATTGAATACTTCTTTCTCAAAGTAGTAGCAGTAGTAGTAGCAAAATAATTCGTGTTTTAGACGAACACGAAATACATTTTACCAAAAGCTGGATTATTCACTTGACTTTCATATGGTTAACAGTGGGGAGACGTTACATTTTATTAACAAACATTGTTACTCAGCCAGAATCGTTGAGTTAGTCAACAATTATTGATAAGTAGAACCAGAATCCACATGATAATCTTTATTACCTAATGATTGTGATTGTTTTTCATATAGCGAAATTCGTGAGATAAAGGTTTGTCAGATGCGATGCAAAAAGAAAATAGCCCGTATACGTCTAAAACCGCTACTTGATCGTGCTTAGATTTGTGAAAATTAACTCAAAATAACCAATTTTTATTAGTACAAAAATTGAGTAATTTATTATCATTATTTATTGTTTTGGAATTTACTTTTTACCAAAAAAATACTGCTATGGCAACCAAGTCTATGATGTTGGAGACTGGAAACACCCATATGTTAAGAACAGCTCAAAATTTCAAATTAATAATAGTAATTTATAGAAAAGCTCATAACCCTTATTTCTATAGAGATTATTGGCCGCGTTACAGTCGCCAATTTTTGTTCTCTCTGCAAGTTCTTGTTGTCATACATTGTGGGGTTTGACCAGAAAAAAAACTGCCTTTACAACCGACCCCGCATTTGTTTGCATGACCAGAAGGACCTCCCGGTTTGAAAAATTAAAATGACAATGAAACTTTGACCATTGTTTTCAGCTACGTATCGAACTATATTGTGATCCTATCATTGGAAATAAGCAAATTGCTTACCAACAAAGAAAATTACGATTTAAACACAAATATGTGTGATATATTTTATCCTCCCAATCCCGTGAAATTTCTGCTAGTAACAGAACGGAAATGGCGTCGGAAATAGCTTTTTACCTTTAAAGTGGGGTCAGCAATAGGGCAGGCTGAGTCAATATTTTTTGAGTCCGTTTCACTCTTCTCCATCGTTACAAAACGTTTTCAGGCCCACGTTTATATAAACTTTCTTTCATATTATTAGCTGAGAAATACGTCCCTAAGTCCCTAAGTGGGGACCATGTATAAACCACGCGCTGTATGAATACATAATTATCTCTATAATAATGAATGCAAAGTTGGGTGGGAAAACACAGTTTGCAACTTAGATATCAATTCTATTTTCGATAGAAGCTATAATGTTATTTAAAATATTTTGTATTTATGTCTATCTCTAACATTTGGATTTTTAAGTTATTTTTATTTTATTTATTTAAGTTTTTAGCTGCTTTTTTAGTTTAGACTCATCTGACTACGTTTATGTCTTTCTTTCATATGTTCGATACACATTCAATTTTTGGGGTTAAGTTGGGGATTTAATAATATTACTTTCTTCTGGCCCTAAAGAATTCGTGTTTACTGAGGTCATCACCGAGCTATTATTCAAAAGAACGTTCTTCTGAACAACGTTCTGTACAACCAGGCTTTACACTTTTTAGGCCGCAAAACAGGTGTTCGTATTTGCTCATGGGTTATTCCTTTTTTAGAGTGAAAAAAACAAAACTGTAAACGTCAATGTAACATCGAAAAAGTCACAATAGTAACAAATGTAACTTGGTGATTGGCACCGCGTGATACAGAAATTATTGTTATTCATTTTTTGTGACCTTATTTATTCTATATTATTTTGTTTTTTTTTTTACGTTTGCTTGCTTTCCTGTTAGTGATAGAAACTATTTTCGGTACTAGTGGTTTCACTGCTTGTAAGATCTAAATGGTGTTAATTAATATATTAAATGCTTACATATATTAAATATCAGTACTGTCACTACCAGCGAAATGTTTAATATACAGTTTCGTTCGACGCCACCCTACATGTTTTATTGCAGTGTGATTTTGCTCAAGTTCTGTTGGAGAGGAGTAAACGATTCATTTATCAAAATTATATTGTTGACACCATAGATCACATTCATTTTTCGAAACGAAAACCCATTTCAAGATTGAGTAACGTTAATCCAAAAAAATATTCAAAACGATTGTTTGTTTTATTTAACAAAGCTTCCACTATAATTGAAAAATATCTCTTAAGTCTGTCCCTCGATCAGGGTTAAATTAATAATAAAGTAAAAAATCTCACCGCTGCTCCATGCATCTGTGTTCCCTTCATGGTTGTTTGGATGAAATGTAATTTCATCGAACAGCACGGTTTCTAGCAGATTTGAGGTTCTGAAAAGGACATTATTCTATAAGCACATATTACAACGACAAATTGAACAAGGACGCTACCTGTTTGCTTTTAAATACTAAGCGAAACTAACCAAAAAACGGTAAATTTCGGCTTTCGGTAAAATTACCTACATTGACAAAAATTCATTATCAATGTTTCACACTCAAAACTTTATAATGTTATGTGTTACATAATGTCACATATTTTCTCTTTTTATGGTCTCCAAAAGTCCTTAACCATATTATTATTAATATTAATATAAATTAATTTTACAGTATTTACAGTATTTATCTTACCTAGATACCAAGGTTTAATAGATTTTCAAATACAATACATATATATACATATATATATATATATATATATATATATATATATATATATATATATATATATATATATATATATATATATATATATATATATATATATATATATATATATATATATATATATATATATATATATATATATATATATATATATATATATATATATATATATATATATATATATATATATATATATATATATATATATATATATATATATATATATATATATATATATATATATATACAAATAAAATATGAATTGCATCGCTCAAATTCTTATTGATACTTTTCCAATGCAAATAACAACTCATTGCTACGTCTTTTTGTTTTTGTTGTCAAAACTAACGAAAACTAAGCATCTAAATCAGCTTTGAAGATTTGGAAAACTTTTTGGTTGGCTCTTTCGGATCGAAACTATTTGTTAACATATATTGAAATAAAATTAAATAGTTATTATTTTAAATCTATATTATTCGCAAATTCTGCAAATTAATCGTTTAGATTCAGTTTATAGGTCGATGCCCCTTCGAAATTTTTACGCTAAATAGCGGGTAAGCGTTTTTATCGACATTAAATGTTGATTTTTAATTGAATAGAACAATAACGTAGCTATGCAAAAGCTACGATGTGGGGTCAGATTATTTCCAAGTTACCCCATCCCTAACATTTTTCGCTGTTCACATTTTCATCACAATATTCCTGGCAACTTTAGAGTATAAGTAAAATGCAATAACAAGAACACGAAATTTAAGTTTAAAACGGCCCTATATTGCACTGTACAAATCTGACAACACAGTCTGCAAAATATGTAATCCAGTCACGCACCGAAATTCAACAAAATATTCAGAGGAGAGACAATAACATTTACTCAGGATCAGAAGTGATTTTATTGGCCGATCGATCCCGAAAATGAGAATATACAATCTCGTTATAGCAACCAAGTCATTTTACAATGGCGTTTTTTAGTATATATTGCTTGCTTTCATTGTCAAGTAGAATTTTGCCTCAGAGAAAACTTTATAGTTCGATTGTGTTGATATTTATGGTCGAGGAATGTATTTGTCGCTAAATATTTTCACATAGGAAATCTGTGCTGTATGTATTAAAAATACGAGTCAAAATTAATTCTTCTAAGTGCAAAATCATCGCTACATTCTTCCGGCTACAACATTACCGCCATAATATTAGCACAACTTGCATTGGCATAAAGAATGTTTTGAAATGACTAGCGCATGCACATATTGAATGTCAACATTTTTTGATGTTTGCTTCAAAAGGGCCCGTATTATTACCAAATACATTTATACTTAGGTATTTGGTTAAAACCAGAATTTGATATCGTCTACTTTATTTTGAAAATCCACCTTAACAGATTTTAAATATTGTTTTCAACAAAAAAAATGTATCTTTCTTTATATGTAATTCATGGCTATAAACTAATATTTCAAATATTATTTCTCTATAACTTTGATCTGGATTTTGATTATTCACAGTCATCAAGTAAAAATTTTTTAGTTACAAAGCGAATGTTGGATTTTTTTTTGCACTTTTCCGCCAGAGTAATTTCAGAAGTCGCATTGTCGCTGAGGATCAATTGGTAACTATGGCTAAAATAACATTAATGATAGATTTTTTATCTTGAATGGCTGGTGATGAATGGGATTTCTCATAAAATAGTATACTATGGAACAAGTGTGGTAAACGGCATTTGAGTAAATTATAGATTTAATAATACTTATGATTTACTTACCTATAACTGTAAAGTACAAATTACTCAAGAAGATTTTTGGCTTGTATAATTTTTCTGCAACAAGTGTGGTAAACGGCATTTGAGGCACGAGTTTACTTAGCACCAGCAGAGCCCAGCGGAGCAAGTGCTTAATAAACGAGTGATTTAAAAAATTTACCAAATGTGTTAGATATTATACTTTTCTACGATCATTAGTTAAATTCTAAAGGACTAAATTCATCAAGTAATGTCTGACGTGACAACAGCGCCGTCAGAATTGAAATAAGTCAAAATTCAAGCCGAAAACACATGTGATAATATCCCGGCAACGTACGAAGTGGCCATAGACAACGAGGGAACACCAGAAAGTGTCGAATGTTTAAAAAAGATGGTAGCAAAGTCTCGAATGTTCAAAATGTCGAAAAGTTTGTGTAGGATCGCGTACGGCCGAAAGCGAGTGGTTTCGAAGGGAACACCATGAAGTGTCAAATGTTAAGTATCGAGAATCTCGAACGGCGTTCGGTCTCGTTTCGCCGAATCTCGGCGGGTTTCATTTCGGGCGGGCAAACAATAGTATGTCAAACAGAAAAGGACAAATAGCTGTTTCGTTTGAATGACGTGATTTTTATATTGAAATAGGGAGACTTTTTAATTTCACAGTCCGAATACAAATTAGCAAAATGTTGCTTGTTTTAAAGATACAGGACGTACATCGGGAGATTAATCCGCACAGGACACAAGAATTTCCATGCGTGCTATAAATTATTCTTTTCAGGAAAATATACGGAAATTTTATTAAAGGGCACTACAACCCGCATTCAAATGAATATTTTTTATTGACCCGTAAGTATCTTTTTGAATATTTTTCCGTCGTTATCGCCCCTTATTTATTACAGCCACCATCTAAAGTAAAAGTTGGCGTTTACCAAGTCAAATTTATCTAGATTTTATTATTGAAGACATTGACAACTTCAACTTTTAAAGAGACACCCTAAAGTATTTTTGTTTTTCTTTCCACCTGGAATCTAAAACTTACTTACCCTATACCGCATCAATTATGGATCACTCTGTATAGAATTTTTCAAAGAAACTTTCACAGGCTACTGTAATACTATTTACAAATCTTCTGGATTCCGTCTGCATTGGTTGTTTATAAATCAAACTAGCTGACGTTTCATCAATCATCCTGTTGGCTTCTTCAGAGCTTAACTGAAACTGATGACTGGCGAGTTTGATTAATAATTAAAAGCAAAATTTCAAAATTTCGGGGTGTTATAGATAGTTATCGATAAGCGAAAATTCATTTTTTAGCAAAATAGATGATTTGAACGAAACCGATTAGGATTTTTTTCAAAGAAACTTCCACAGGCTACTATAATACTGCGCCGGTTTTTGATGAGTCGAACTTGCTGACGTTTCGCCAAACATCCTGTTGACTTCTTCAGAGCTTGACTGAAAGTGGCTCGTATTTTACTCTGTACCTGCTTATATATTGTTTGAGGAGCTAAATAAGGGGCATAACACCGTTTCGGATGACTGATTCCCATATTGGTGACAGGTAGAGACTTGAGTTCGCGATTAAGATTGTTAGGTTATTTATAGATTTCCATAGACTCTCGGATTTTTTGTTGGTAGAAGAAGAAGAAGAAGAAGAAGAATGTTAGTTTTATCGAATAAAATTTTATGTCCGGTTTCATGAGTGTGTTCGGCAACAGCTGATGAGTTTATTTGTCTTAGTCGTAAGGCTCTTTCGTGTTCTTTGAGTCTAGTTGATATTTTTCGTCCGGTCTCTCCGCTTTATATCTTTAATGTGAAAATTATTAGAGAGAAGAGCAGAGGTAAGGTGTTTTAATTCTGTATCTATCTCAGCCCGAGTCACTGAACCCAGAATTAAAATTCTTCTAGCAACTAAAAATCCGGGAATCTATAGAAATCTATAAACAACCTAACAATCTTAACCACGACTCAGGTCTCTACCTGTCACCAATATGCTCCTCATTTAGCTCCGCCCTCCTCAAACAGTATATAAGCAGGTGCAGAGTAAAATACGAGCCACTTTCAGTCAAGCTCTGAAGAAGCCAACAGGATGATTGGCGAAACATCAGCAAGTTCGACTCAGCAAAAACCGAGCAGGAGGAATCCAGAAGTTTTGTAAAAAGTGAAACCGATTAGGTGCTGAATAGATTCACTGTACAACTTGTCCCAGGCAGTTTAGAGTGAACCTCGGAGTAACACACATTCATTTATCATATTTTATTGGAAACAATAATTGATCGTACGCAAAAGGCAACATTTTGCTAATTTATATTCGGATTATACCTATCTAGTATCGACTGTGAAATTGCAGTCTCCCTATTTCAATATAAAAATCACGTCATTCAAACTAAACAGCTATTTGTACTTTTATATTTGACATTCGACCGTTTGCTTCAAGTTCCCGCGCGAAACGAGACTCGCCGAACCTTTCCGAAACGAGACCGAATGCCGTTCAAAATTTTCGATACCTTGAACATTCGACACTTTGGTATCATCTCATTTTGAACATTCGACACTTTGTGGTGTTCCCGAACATTCGACCCTTTGCTACCGTCACGATAACGAAACTGACAAAATGACACGCTCGATCCATGTATAATTAGATATTTTACAGAAGGGGTATAGAGCATAAAACTGCAAGTATAATCGATATAACGGATCTAATTTAAACTCAACAACTGGGGTTTTATGAAACACCCGCGCATAATTGACATTTTTTCAAACTACCACATATCCTAACGTGTTGTACTTTGGTAAACTAACCAAAACTATCATAAACAGCTTTATCTCTATATATAACCTCATACTAATCGTTATTATAAGTAAATATTGCTTGATTTCTTGAATTGGCTTGCCCCATCCGCTTCGAATTCAGTGAAAAT